TGGATGACACTGAACATTTAGACAATCTTTTCATGATTTCCTTAGAACTTATCTAAACCAAATATTCACACAAGACAATTTGTGTATCATGTAATTTGCATAGCAAATTTGGAAAGCATCAGATGAAAAACCAGGGAGTTTGGCCAAAAAACTGACTTTTAGAATAGTTTTTCGTGGTTTTTCATTATATGCGGGGAAATGAGCTGGACTAAAACCACACTATCTTCTTTCTTGCATGATGGCAAATTTTTTGCAGCATGTTTGAAGAAAATCAGATAAAAAATGAGGAAGTTATTCAAGTTTTCATTTTAAGTAGTATAAAAAACCCAATTTTTTTGTGTGAGGCCAATGTTGCAGGAAAACTATCAAGCACTCTACATAAACCTCATAACATGAGGTTAAGTGCAAAGAAAATCAAGGTAATCCATATGGCCTCACCATAAAAAAAGTCATTTTGAAATTAAGGAAAAAATATCTTAAACTCATTTTTGTTTTAAAGATGAAGTAGTAAAGAAATATTAAATAAACCTAAACAGAACAAGTATCAGAAACATAATGACACTAAATTCAGGCTTTTTCTTGTATGAAAATGTTTAAATGGATAGATCATCTTAACTCATTTAATCCTCAACGATTTTATTTAGAAACTTATTGCATATATTTTATTAGTTTAGAAAGTGCAAAGATTAAACAAAATACTCATAGGCTCAACTTCATAAATGATGATTGGTGATTTTTCCATGACTGTTACAGGCTGTCCAATGTCTTGCAAGCAGGAGACAATAGCTCCCAGGCCTACTTGACATTTTAAGATATAGAGTGGCATGTGCAATACCCAATTCCACCTTTTAAGCCAGCAGTTTAGATGCTGTTGCCCAGCTAGGTGAGACATTAACAGTAAGGTGACATGGTTATAGGTTTTCTACTGAGGTTTTATTCCCCTAGGCATATGGCAAAGCTAGGGAAGTTTGATACCTCCCCAAAGGTTAATTCCAGCAGCAAATAATAATAATAAAGAGAAGCATCAATTAAAGCAAGATATTAATTTGAAGTAATCAACCAAATTTCCCACCTATTTGCATTTGTAACACATGCAAATTAGCTATGATTAAAATGTACATTTGCATTATCCCAACCAGTGATCACATGGTTAGGACTAAACAATTTGGATTTAAACTTCATCTCATCCTGTCAATTACCATCCAAATAAAATAATAATTACATGAAAAAGATAGCACATAATAAAATGTTTTTTCACCCCAAACTCTTCTTAAGGATGGGGGGGGGGAGACAATACAAAAATGTATTTATAAGAGCAGCAGAAATTGAGTAAAGGGTTATTATGTAAATTACATGAAAAGGAGGCCTTCCAATTTACATTACCAAAAAAAAAAAAAAAAAAAAAAAAAAAAACTCATTTTTTGCTTTTGTGTTAAAGTGCATTTATTTACTTCCTAAGTGCATCATTAAAATTGCTGAGTTTATTATTGCATATCTGAAGGGATGAGACTTTAAAAATTTGTTAGAAACAAATCTTTCAAATATGAATTTTTATTTTTTTTATTTTTTTAACAGAGTGACTGTCAAATTGACCAGAAAAGAATTTTTAAGAATGACAGAAAAAAATGATTTATCAGCTTATTTTTCTTTTTAGATTGACTGATTATATGGAGATTAGAGTCGGTGTTGATAATCAGTTACTAAGTGTTGAAAGGGAGGGAGAAATTCAGTATAGTCGGCAGGAAACTTGTGCAGATGTCTGGAATTAGTCAAGTGTAGTGTCAAGGCATTTCGGCTTGACTCATGCACCTTTTTTAATTATTTTTTTAATTTTTTTAATTTTTTATTTTTTACCTTCAGCAGGACCAACATTTGCAGAGGCATTTCCTGAAATGTCAGCATAAGATAAGCAAATGCGACCATTAACAAAATCAGGAGAGTGACTAATTTAGAAGACAAACTTTATGGACAGAATTTAAGACAGAATAATAACTGAGACATGCAGATTAACAGACATATTGGAGAGTACAGAAAATCTTAATATATTTATTTAAAAATAAAATAAAATTTTATCAAAGAAATATTCTTAAGAGCGTTCTACTGAAAAGCAAAACATTTTTAAAGTTATTTTTACCACTGACAAAAAGATCAATATTGAAATATCTCTTGTTTTCACTTATTTTATTGTTTTTTTTTTAAATACATGCCATATCCCCCTCAAGGCATAGGTGATGATGGCTCTCCACAAGATCCCTTTCTTTATTATCTGTCAATTGCCATACTTTTTTTTTTTTTTTGGCAAAGACAGCAAAATGGGTTCCTGTTGCTTTCTTCAGTTTGCAATTCAGAGTTATCTTTCTTTTAGACTGATTGCCATCCAAGGCTAGAGATCCAGTCTACTTTATTACTTTATCTGTAGCTGGAGAGGCAGTTCAGCTATTTATTAGCATATAAAATGCATGCTTTCACATTATTTTTGACAAATGCATTTTATGTTCTCTCCCACATCATACAGTCACTCACTTTACACTCTTCAGTATTAGCCACTTCTCCATAATACATTAGAAACATTAAAAAAAAATGTCTGCAAAACTGGCAAATATTTATTTCACATTTTTCTATATGTATATAAAATAATATAAGAATATATTATATCCATTCTTTATGATTAGATTTTTAACTAAAAGTTCAGAAATTAAAAATATCTATTGTCATAAATGATATTTAAATTTTTAAATTAAAATTTTTCATTATACAAAAGCATTCTGCAATTTTAACAGATCTTTATTTTTTTTATTTTTTTTTATAAAAATGCACCTAAAAGGAAATTTATTACCATGGTATAGGTTAATTTTCAAGTTCCTAGAAAATATCAATCGATCTGACAAAATTAACAAATTAAATTCATAAGTTTAAAATGTGTTGTCACAACAGGAATAAAATAAATTTGCCATTATGAAAAACTCATAACTAAAGCTAAGATGGCCAAGATGACTGGCAATAGGACCAAGCACAGAGGATTCAACTCTGGAAACATTTTGTGCTCAGTTTCAATGTTACCCATTTTTACAGTTTTGTAAATAAAATGCTTTTCCTCTTAGAATATAATAAGAGAGAATGAATTAGTAAATACACAGACAATTCTCTCTCTCTCTCCCTCTCTCTCTCTCTCTCTCTAAAGTTTGTTTGCATCAAGCTGTCAAACTCAAACAAATGAAAGCAAATTCTTTTTTTTTTTTTTTTTTTTTAAAGAGAAGCAAAATATAGTTATCTCTAAGGTAATAGAAAATAGATTGACAATCAGATCTTGCTGGAATACTTTAAATTAAATTTTCCTGTCAATTTAATATAAATTTGCCTCCATATAGAAATTTCTTTTTAAATAACTGTCAGGAAAGGCATTTCAGACTGCAGAAGAGATTTAGATCGATAGGAAAAAGTATGTATTTGGTCCAATATACAGCAGTTTTATAGAGCACAGCATAATTTAAAAATACTAATTCCCAGGCAGACATTTTTTTATTTAATAGCATCGATTAGATAACACTACAGATTTTGATTCTAACAGTCAAGTGCAAATATTAAGCAATTTTTATCTATTCCTTTGTATAAATCCACTTTATATGAGAGAAAAATTGAAATAAGGATGATACAGGTCATACAAAGTTAAATTCTGAATAAACTAAGTTTGTATGTCTATTTCTGAGATGAGGTATTGTAATTATTTACACTATTTACATTGTTCGGACTGTTGTCCTCATCTTTATTGCCATATTCACCTTCAATATCTTTCTCTATTTCTGAGATGAGGTATTGTAACTATTGACACTATTTACATTGTTCGGACTGTTGTCCTCATCTTTATTGCCATATTCACCTTCAATATCTTTCTCTATTTCTGAGATGAGGTATTGTAATTATTTACACTATTTACATTGTTCAGACTTTTGTCCTCATCTTTATTGCCATATTCACAACACTTCAGCCATTATTTACACTTACATCCTTCAGACTTTTTGTCAGAATTTTTGTTGCCATATTCACAATGTTTTGGATGTTGAGCGCTCCAGCCTTCTTCCTCAAGGACACACGAAAGCGTTGGTTGAACCCAGTGAATTGACCCAAAGAATTTTGAGTAATACCTGGCTACAGCTGAGGTGAACAAAAAAAAAAAAAAAAAAAAAAAAATCTTGGAGAGTTGAGTTAAAGGGAGTTAACTGATACCGAGTCATCTGGAAGAGGCATTGAATGTGGAACTAGAACAAGCTATCCCGGTGGACAAAAAGAGTTCAGTTCGAAATCTGTGCAACAGCTGAAATGTTGTGAATATGGCAACAAAGACGAGGACAATGATAACAATGAAAATAGTATAATTAACTGAAAATTTATATTCTATTACTAAAATTGCAAAATACTAGCAAAAATATTTTACTGTAAATAGTTTGTATTTTTTTAATTTTAAGGTGAAAATATTCAATTTAAGAAAATATTTTACTATTAAAATAAATAAATTTATTGCTACTGGGAATTTACAGGCAGCTTCATTTTAAAATATTTAATAAAAAGTGTACATGGATTAAACTGGAATTATTGCGTCATCTCAATGGAAAAATTCTATTTAAGAGGAAGCAAGCAGTGTTTTCAAATTATTCTTTATTCAGATATCATAATGGGTAAGAACAAATAACATGAAATATTTTTATATATTTGAATAATACTTCTATGCCTAATGCAAAATTTCTGTTGTCATTCACAAACCTGCTAGCAAGACTTAGCAATGTGTAAGCATTTTAGTTCTTAGGGAGGTCATTTAAAGACCCCCCCGCAAACAAACTCTTACACAAGGTAAATATCCCAAGTAATTATCGCTAATTAGTTACCAGTTAACTTGAGCTTTTCTTTACTTTTGGATATATATATATATATATATATATATATATATATATATATTTACGAGAAAGGAACAAAATGGAAAAAAGATAAGAGTAAAAATAACTCACCATCATCCATACTACGTGACCTATCATAGCTATAAGATGACTGGCTATATTTTCCAGCTCTGGCAAAATGTGGATTTTGTCGATCTATCGTATTCTGACGAGTTTGGTATTGTGTGCGTCCAGAATAACGGAATCTGGAACCAAATCTTGGGAATACATGGGCAGTTTTGGAGGCATCAGGTTCCTTTAGTCTGAAAACAAAAAGAAAAAAGTTTAAATATTGCTATTTCTTTTTATCATTTAATGGAAGTAATTTAAAAACAGATGATGAATATACAATTATTTGCACATCAGGACTTGACAGTTTATTTAAACTAACAGCCTTATCTTTGTTTTACCATACTGATGAAGGTTCCCAAAGATTTTTTATGCCTACATATGTTAAGAATTTCGGTTTTGGAGTTTAATAGCTGGTTAGGTTGATTATATAAAGCTATGGCTAATTTCTCCTTTGTACATAGTTTACAAAATTTTTGGCCTGCTTTATATTTGGGGCATTTTTTTTAATATTTCCCCATTTAAGGATGGGGTCTTTATCGTTTTCTTGTCTAGTTTTCCATACATGGGTGGATAGCGTGGTACTACATTTAATTTTTTCGTTTTTAAAAACTACTCGTGTGGTTATAGTATCTTTTTTTAAAATTATCCTGAGTAGCACTTATGTATACTTTAGGGTTTGTATCCTCCATATCCTTATAAATTTTCACCTGGTAAACCATGCATTCTTACTGACATTTTCCCTGTAATGGGCAGATATTTTTGTTCCTACAATTACAACTAGAAGGGCTACTGTGTGGATTATCCAGAGTTTTTTTTTTTCTTCAATCCACTAATTAAGGTCCCTACACTGGGCATGCAACAGTAACTAAGTTTTACATTATTTTTATTGAATATTTTATGTAACTCAGTTTTTTGGGGGAAATTTTGCTCTAATTGCCTATAAATATGCGTTTCTCTTTTGCCTCTTTAGCCAGCTTTCCCTGACGATCCGCTTAGGTGAAACCTGGGTAGGTTTGTCTGGCTCACTAGGTTTATCTAGGTCTGCTCTATGGTTGTATTGAGCTCTTTTGTTAGTTAGTTGTTTACTCGTGTTAGGGTTTTTTTCTTTGGGCTTCAAACCTGTACGATTTTTTTTCGACAAACTTTCATGTTTCTAGCTCTTTCCTTAAAACCTCCCCCCCTCCCTCAAGATTGATTTGATTATTGGCAAATCAAAAATTCTTAGGTTTTTCAAAACGAGTATAGTTACCTATATTTGTATTATATATATATATATATATATATATATATCTCTCACTTAGCTGATTGATGTTACCTTCAGCATCCTGACTCCAAAGCTTTGGAGGCAGACATGTCTGTCCACTCTTCAAGGTATCAGCAAATTATTGCTTATATTTTTTTGATTTTTTTCCTTTTTATATACATTTAACATTGGTGTAAGTTTTTTTTCCCCCTTGTGTGTGTGCGTGCACACATGCAGCCATATGCCTGTCTGTGTAGATGTGTAGGGTGTCGTAATCATTTGTCCTTTTCTTCATTGTATCAGTAGATACACAGAACATAAAAGGTGAGAAAAGATTAAAAAAAAAATATATATATATATTTAAAGAAAAGAGGAATATTTGTTTTATATTTTCTCATCTTTTACCTTCTACATCTATCTACACTTTTTGCAGGAGAGTCTTTTTAAAATTTTATAAATAAAACTTTTGAATTTCATCTAACTGCACAGCATTCACCAACACTTAAACAAGGAGACTGTCCAGAAAAGTTGCAGGAGGTTCTGAAGTCATCTGGTGTCTGTGGTTGAAGCCAATGGCGATTTTATTGAATACATTTACTCAATAGTATTTCAACATACTTTTGAGTAATTTTGGTAAATATATCTGATAAAATGAGATGTCAGTGTTATTTTCATTTTTGCATAATTTAGACGACAATTTATCCATCGCACCATACATTTTATATATAAAATAAACACCCCCACACCCGATTCTTAATATGCTGAACAAATACTCACTCGATCTTGATCACTTCAGGAAGTATCTGCATTTCTGGCATGCTTTATCTTTCCAAGTGTCATATTCCAAAAATGGAATATTGCTGCCACATCTGGAGTGGAGCTGCTCAATCCTCACAGGTACAATGACACAAGGCTTGCTCTATCCATGGAAAATGTTCATATGAATCCCAGTCATTAACCGCAGATGTTCAGACCATTACAACATGTCACACTACTTGTGCCCTCATTTTCACCATATTCCAAATGTAAAGAGAAAGTTTAATTCAGACATCCCTGCCCAAGAACTGCTATTTTGTGGAAACAAAATCTGAAATGGATTCTTTCCTGAATAATTCAAGCGTCACCTCTTTAAGTTAGGGTCCATTATCTCCTCATCTTCATTTCCTACATTTTCTTTCATTCATAAAACATTTTAACAGTAGGCCTCTACCTCGAGTGGCTCTCGGGCTTTGTATTGGGTGCTTTAGTAATAAAAATCATATATATATATATATATATATATAAAATGGCTGCTGGTTAATTCTTGAACCTCTTAAAATGAATATGGCATTTGGTGAACAGTCAGTGTTTAATTTCAGAATTTAGACAATTGTTAAGCTTGTTATTTACAACAAAGCAATGACTTATTATTCAGCTTGGCATAAAATCTGCCATATAGTTTAAGAACTTGAAAAATAGGCTAAAAGCAAAAATTCCAAACAAATCAACTAATTAGGTTTTAAATCAATTATTACAGTACTTATTTTCGCCTCCACATATGACCACTTAAATGTTTTTGTATATCCATTTTGTCTTTTATAAACATTAAGTGGGTAAATCTTCTCTTTCATAAAATTAAAGTCTGTCTGGGAAGTATCCAAACTGGTTGTGTGGCCTTGAAACATGACATCCAATCAGTTGACAAAAGATGTGAAATTGGTGCATTCAAAATGGTTGGATATTTCTAATAGTTTCCAGAACCATTTTGAAACAATGATAGCAAAGATTTATTTGCACTTCACTCATTCAGATATTTCCAAAGGTTACCTTAATTGTTCAAATAGTTTCTACAGACAAATGTCCAAGTTTCAAACAAGCTCACTTACCAAAGTTTCTGTGGTTGTAAAGAAAAGAAAAGACTGTCAACTTATGGTAGCAACAGATGTCAGCAATAGATTTCTTCTGTCTCAACCGTAACACTTGTAGCCAAATCACAGTTCAAACGAGAGCTCATCGTAACAGTCCAACAAGCAGCGTAGAAACGACAAAATGGGGTCACACGTCCAACCTTCACTTCTCACCAGAAAAAAAACGCATGATCATCTCCTGAGCTCAGAACAACGGTTTTTGTTCACCGAGAGATCTTTCTGATTGGTCATGCCATTCAGGGTAGGGAAGAACATTAGCATTGATTCTAGTCCTTAAAGTAGATTTTTTTTTGCTAACTACTTTATGGTAATTTTTCTTCGGCAGATCGCACACAAAACACAAACTCTTTTTTGAGGTAGCTGATTATCTCTTTCACTAGTTTCACTTTGACGGAGTTGTTTATTCAGGCCTGGTTGATGCCTTATTCTTCTGTACAACCGACATCAATGGGATTCAACCTCAGAGGAATTCATTATCTAACCATAACTGCAGCTCTCATTTGTAATCATCTTTGACTTGTTTAGGCACATAATCAAGCACTGTGTTTTTCAATTTCTCCAGTGGGTAGTCATCAGGTCATTTCTATATTGCAGTCCAGATCATCAGGACGTGATCAAATTCTGCACTAAAGTCGGGTTCAATTTTGATTGTGGCACAAGTCAACAAATTCTGTGTTGAGATCTCTACCTAGGTTATGTAGACTCCACCTAACTTTATAATAATGTCCATCCCCAAGATCAGTCCCAATAATTTACTGTTCACAACTAGAACTTTGATTGTGTTCATATTGTTCCCTTGAATCTGAATATGGTACGAATTCCTCAACTCTAGAGGATGTGTCCATCAACTGTTAATATGCTATAGGAGTAGAGGTTTACTCCTTGTTTCCGGTTTAGGATTGGGTTTCCAGTTCTTTTTAAAGTCTACTTCAATTCTATACTTCTAACATCTCCATCTAAACTCTGAAATTTATACTATTATTGCATCTCCAGTTACTTCTAAAATCTTTTCCTTCTCTTCCAGTAGCCCCTTGGTGGCAATATTGTTTGCTTCAGGCATAACGACCTGAATCCACCAATGCTATACATCTCTTCCCATCCAAATATACTTTGATGAAAGGAAGCATTTCATTTATCTTTCTGTGTGAAGGAGACTGGCACTATTGTCATGTCCCCCAACTCATTACCCTTACACTCCAAAGCAAAATGACAACCCCTAGCATTAAAAGCAATGTAATTCTTTTATTAGTAAATAAGAAAATGGATCTTACCTGAAAAATGTATGATGTTCTACACAAGTCTTCCATAGTCGCTTGGCAAAATTATGGTGTTGCAGCTTAAACGATATTATGTTCTCATATCTTTCAAACTGAAATATTATCAAAGACAAAATACCTTAAGTACAATCAACACAACAGTCAATTGTAAATTATCCAAATTTTAAAACCAAAACATTTATCAAAGTACAAATAAACCTCTCATCTACGGATCCCTAATCAACAGACTTTGGATGCAATGTATAAAAACTGCAGGCAAAATAAATAAAAAAGCATGCAGGAAAAAAAAAAGCTTCCAAATGGTTATCGATGTATTTCAAAATTTGAGGTTTTAGCAGAATGATTGGTATTAGTTCTCAAAGTGACCGCTTCTCGGTGGTAGCAGGCCTTTCAATTGTAAATAAAGGACAAAGTACAATACACTAGTGTGTGCATGAGAAATCTATTATTTTTGTTATTTTGAAAGTACAATACACGAGTGTGTGCATAAGAAACCTATTATTTTTGTTATTTTGATTAATATATCTATATTAAGATGCCATATATACATGTTTATAGTATTTACATTATGATCATAACTACTGGTAGTTACTACAGTGGTTTTATAACTCAAAAATAATCACTTCTCATCTACAGACAATCGGCTTTAATGCCCCCCCCCACATTAGTCCGTTGATGAGAGGTTTGTCTGTATAACAATATTAGCACACAAAACGAAATTGGCAAACCAAGTTTTATTCATTTTAACACATATTAACCAAAATTACATAAAAATATCTTAAATACTAACGAGTAAATTTATTCAATAAAATCACCATTGGCTTCAACCACAGACAACATTGGAATCTCCTGCAACTCTTCTGGACGGTCTCCTTTTATAAGTTGGTGAATGCTGACAATCCTTGTCTTCAGTTCATCATTGGTGTTACAAGAAGTTTTGTTGGTCTCTCACTCAATCACACTCCACACATAATAATCAAGGGGATTATAGTCTGGGGAGTTAGGTGACTATATGTAAGGAGTGATATGGTTGCAGAAATTGTCTGACAGCCATGATTGGGTTCTTCTGCTTGTGTGGCATGGTGTAGAGTCTGGTTGTCAGATATTGGTCTTCCAGCAGCAATCCTTTTGACTTTGGGCAGCATTAACTCCTCAAGGCACTTGATGCAGGCCTCTGTGTCGAGTCTAAAGCTCTCACCAACAAATTTTAGAGTTCTTTTCTTATCAAAATGATTAGAGTGAGTTTTCCAATACCTGGCTACTGCAGTGGTGAACAAAACCTTGGAGACTGACAATATATACTGAGTAATCAATGAAGTAAGACAGGTTAATTTAAGTTATTCATTCATTGTCACACTTTAACAGGTTCAAGTATACAATGAGTAAATATGGATACTTACCTCACCAGGTCGAATTCTGATTTGAAAAACTTTGCCTTTGTATGAAATATTCAATATCTTTGGCCAAGAGAAACGATTAATGCGAAGTTTATCTTTGTAAACCAAAAGACCACTGGCACACACACCAAGCAATATGTCCACATGGTTGGAATCCTGAAAAGAAAATAAGACAGCAATAAAACAAATAATTTATTTATATTATTAGATTGATTCATTTTTCTACAGCCTATCAACCCTCTGCAGCTTATTTAAAGGCAGAAAATATTTTTAAATTTGAAGAATTTTTTTTTTTGAACATAATGATTTAGTGATACAATTAAATACATAGCTGGAGGCAGGGCGGGGTGGGAAGGAGAAAAGGCGGATTCCTAACATTCCCAAAGGTATCTGATAGTAAGTAAATATAATGAACACAACTGGAATTGGAACATGGCTCTCCAATTAACAATTCTGAGGCATTACCAATGACACCACCCATACACCCAAGCTTACAGCAACTGAACTCCAAAGTTGTCACCCACATAGGTACTAACCTGACTCGACATTGCTCAACTTCAACTGTATAGCAATTGGTGTTTCATTGCGATATGGCAGTAAGCCTATATTATTAACTATTTAGTAGATAATAGAATCCTTATTTTAAAAATTAATAATTCTATAAGAAAAACTTGCTTTTATAGTTTATCAATCCTTTGCAGGTTATTTAAAGCCAAAGAATATTTTTAGATTGTAAGAATTTGGGGGTGATAATAATTTACTGATAGATGCCCTACTAATTAACCCATAGTTGTGGACAGAAAAGCTGGATTCATACCTTTCCCCAAGAGTATTTGCACATAAGTGAATATAATGAATGAACTGCAATTGAAACTTTGCTTCCCGATTTCCAATTATGAGCCATTATCCATTACATCGCCCTCAAATCCAAGCTTCCAACACCTGGTATTCCCAAGCAGTCACTCATCTAGATTCTGGCCAGGCTCAATATTGCTTAACTTTGGTAATCTTATGAAAATTGGTGTTATCACTGTAAGCCAATATAAGAATGAATATTGTAATTGACTAAACATATGTCATAAATATGAATAGACACATAAAAATCAGAAAACATTTACTAGAAATTAGTATTTTGTAAGCTTAATACAAGGAGGTGCTGAAAATTTCTAAATCCATCTTCATACAGATTTTAGTCTGGCTTTTAGTTAATAGGCTGAGAGGTTTGAGACTCACGTGACAAAGTTATATACAATTTATATTTCATATATTTTGTTTTTAAAATGACGTTCACCCTGTATAAGGCCCAAGAGCCAGGTTGAGGGTTACAATGGGGATATGTGCAAAGATAATGGTAACCATAGGCTTGGACATGTTAAGATTGTAATGACTGAGGAAGCATCCTCTTGGAAGTCAGTTATACAAATCAGCAGTTTATGAGAAGTACCTCCCAATGGAATATGAAGGGAATGAAGGTGGTTCACTACAATGTGTGTGTTATGGCGGGTCTAAGCCATGAAGGCTAGAAATGATGGAACTAAGGAATGTAGTTCATCTGAACACTTTCCATGGAAATAACGACAGAGCAGCAAGAGGTTTGCAATGTTTCTTCTGTGGGTAAAGAACTGTAGAAGGGAAAATAATTCATCACCCACAAAACCGCATAGATGTTTCTGGCATCCATCAAGACTGGAAAGTTCCAACTCAGATATGGCAGCAGTACACCATTCTTTGGTCTGGTCAGAGCCAGGTAGAGGGTTACAGAGTAAGAGGCCCAATTTATGGGGATATGTGGGAAGATAATGGTTAACCATAGGCTTGGACATGTTAAGACTGTAGTGATCAAGGAAGCATACTCTTGGGAGTCAGTTAACCAAAGCAGCAGTTTATGAGAAGTACCTCCTAATGAAACATGAAGGAAATGAAAGTGGTTCACTACAATGTGAAAATCTTCATGAATAGAGATCAGAAAATTCATCTGTGGTGTTAAATGGGAAGAAAGAGGACTAATCTAATTTAAACCATAAAATGATGAAACACTAAGTTGCTTTTTATGCTTCCAATTTAAAAAATTTTATTTACTTTTCCCAAGTCTTTTTTGGACAGGGGTAGAGGTTTATCCCTTGTTTCCTGTTTAGGACTGGGATTCTGGCTCTTTCTAAACTCAACTTTGATGCTATACTTCTAATGTCTCCACCTAAACTGAAATGTTATTCACTAAATAGATCTTGACCTCTTCAAGTCTAGAATTAGTTGTTATCTCCTGTATAGCCACAATAACTTCACTTCCTATCCTTTATTATGTTAATGCAAACACTATACAGTAACCCTCTGCCTCGAGTGGCTTTTGGGCCTTATATTGAGTGAATATTAGTAATAAAAAACAAATATTCTGAAAGAAGAAACCTGAATAAATGTTATAAAAATTCTAAGACATCAGATCACATTGGTGATATTCTGGTTAGACTTTTCAGACCTTAGCTATTCCTTTTACTCATTTTCATGGATGTGTAATGAATTTTAAAAATAAAAAAAATTAGAGAATAAATTATGTGAGAATTGGATGTGTGTGTGGTATAATGGATATCATCTCAGAATGATGAATCTGATAGTTGAGTTCAAGTTCCAATCAGGTTCGTTACATTTACTTATATGTAAATACCTTATGAATATATCTCTTCTACCAGCTTTGGGTTGAATAGCAGGGCAGATTGGGTCCTCTAGCCTTGGCTGGTAACCAGCCTACCACAGAAAGAAATGGCAGCCCACTGTATGGAAAATCTTCTGCTTTGTCAGTCATGAATCAAAAGAGACATGATCGTCCAAATGTGTATCATGTACAGCACCTAACTGACTGATTGAGTGGGAGGTAAAAGTAAATATACAAGCAAAAGATTAAGCAAAGAGTTGATAGTTTGAATCTATCACCAATTTCCTATAAATTCTAAGATGGCCAAATAGAGTTCAAGTTTGATTCACAGCTAACATTTCTATTATTAATAAATTTGACACAAACAGATTTATTCAGAATACAGAGAGCAGTATTTATAAAGAAAATCTGAATAAAGGTTAAGTTAATTTTTTGTTTAATATAACATGACCTTACCATAGCTTCATGCAAATCAACGCCATACATTGCCAGTTTCTTGGCATTTTCAAGGAAATGCAGCTCTGCCTCTTCAGGAGTCTGACCTCTGCAAGTAAATAAAAGGAAAATAAATAATATTTTATAATCTTATCAATTGCACTGTGTATTTTTTTTCTTTCTTTACTTAACCCATGATATATCATCATTATGCCTCTTTTTAGGTGTGTGCCTTTGTCTTTATTATCAGTTGTTAACCGTTATCAAATTCAGGATTATGGTGTGGCAAGGGGACATGGATTTACATGGGTTATACCAAGTCTACCAAATCTAACTTCAAATGGTAGATGTTGGTAGTAATAAAAAAAAAAAAAAAAAAAAAAACAATACAGGAAATTTCTTGTATAGAAGAAAAATAGTTTTATTCATGACTGCAACAGAATATTATGCCAAACAATTTAAGCAAGCGAGAAGTGAGAGGAGAGAGAGAGCGAGCAAGATAAAACGAGAGAGAGAGCGAGCAAGATAAAACGAGAGAGAGAGCGAGAAAGATAAAACGAGAGAGCGAGATAAAACGAGAGAGAAAGATAAAAGCGAGAAGGCGAGAAAGATAAAACGAGAGAGAGAGCGAGAAAGATAAAACGAGAGAGAGAGCGAGAAAGATAAAACGAGAGAGAGAGCGAGAAAGATAAAACGAGAGAGAGAGCGAGAAAGATAAAAAGAGAGAGCGAGAAAGAGAGAGAGAGAAAGCGAAAGATAAAAGATAAAAGATAAAACGAGAGAGAGAGCGAGAAAGATAAAAGCGAGAGAGAGAAAGACGAAAAGATAAAACGAGAGAGAGAGGCGAAAAGATAAAACGAAAAGAGAGAGAAAGATAAACGAGAAAGATAAAAGCGAGAGAGAGCGAGAAAGATAAAACGAGAGAGAGCGAAAAGATAAAAGCGAGAGAGAGCGAAAGATAAAACGAGAGAGAGCGAGAAAGATAAAAAAGAGAGAGAGAAAGATAAACGAGAGAGAGAAAAAGATAAAACGAGAGAGAAAGAAAGATAAAACAGAGAGTCGAGAGAGAGAAAAACAAGAGTCAGCGAATGGGTGATTTCTAAAGTATTACTCAAAGCAACAGTCTTTGGCCCCAAATTAAAAATATAGATACTCAATGCAGCTGCCTCGACACAGAATCATTTCTACATTGGCTGGGACCTTATGTTAATCTAATTGAAGGGACATCAGATAGCCAAACCAATTGGTCCAGGTTAAATGTTTATATCTTATTGAGAAATAGAGTAATTATTTGCCTACACCTTAAAAAAGTTTTGCCATGTCTTCATAATGAATTTTCAGGGACACTGTTACCCTGAAATGCTATATATATTCATATAACACTACCTGAAATAGATTGTAATTTATAGAGATTTAAAAATATGAATAGAAACATCAGAAACACATTATTTTCTGCAGGTCAACTTTTCATTGTGAGACAAGCAAATCAATCAAAAACAGAAATATGTAAAATATGAAGAAAAATAAATCAGATTGGTTGCACAGCAATTGTGCACTTTAAACTAGATCTGTTCAGGCAAAATCTGGTTATCATTCTCCCCAGAAATTCCTATTTCATGGTTATTTATACATTTTTGCTGGCTGCTGCCTTGGAGCTTCTGGGCAATTTTTTTTTTTTTTTTTTTTTTTCCATTTTAACAATCCTAGCATCAAATGATGAATTGATACTTTCCAGAAAATACCTAAAGTCCTCTATAAATGTCACAGCAATGCAGAAGATAAACAACAATGTCCTCCTGAGCAGAACCACTAGAGAGAAAGTTTCATTTTACTTTTAATGCTTTTTGTTTTTACTTCTGGCTTCAATATAAATTCTTCAATTTCTGATAAAGACTGAAAGCAAAAACAATTTCCAAAACTTATTAACAATAAGAAATTATTTAATGCCAACAAGATTTTTAGGATATGTCCGTATGAATAGAATATATATTCTTTGTAAGTAATCTGGTCTACAAACTGTAGTTCAGATTTCACTGATATATTTTGTGAAGAGCATTGGGGTAGATTCTGCTGTCCAAGAGATATCCCCAAACAGAGAGTGGAATGAAAATCTACTCCTGTGGATTAAATAAAGGGTTTAGTTTGAAAGATTTTTGTAATAGATACATACTAAGAAGGTCAGAGGGCACAATAGTCCAACTGTAAATAATAACTCTTAATCCCCAAAACTGACAAATTATACAAATTATTTTTTATTTCTGTAAAAAAAAAAAAAAAAATTCCATTATGTAGCTAACTTTAAAAGTCAATACGTGAACAGACTGCACCTATTTAACTAGTTTTGTATGCAAAAAGTTAGTTAAAAGTGTGGAGGTGCTTTTAAATGCTGTTCTAAGTGCAATTTCAGATGAAACAGTCAATGACATAACATTCAAATACTGTTCACTTTAAAGGCATTCATCACATTAACAAACAAAAATATCCACTCAGACAAAATGCAAAAACTATTAACTCCATTATCAACAATTACTAGCTTCTAGATTATTTCAACATTACCCCCAAATGCCCAGGTTTCATTTTATGTATGATCTGAGGGCGTTCACAACGATTAGGACCAAAGAAACAAAACTGTGGGATGACACACATTTTTCTTAAAATTCATGGCCTGTTATTTTCCTATTGGCTAAAATCTAAGTTCAACAAGGCAGCATAAATTACTTGGGTGTGTGTGTGCATGAAAAACCACACACACACAATATAAATCACTGATTTGTGTAAAGTTGGGCTAAGATTCCTTGAAAGCTCACAAGAGCGAGTTATTTCATAGGCAGTAAATTCAAGCAATTCTTTAAGGAACAACATTATTGCCAACAAACTTAAAACATTATACATGCAAAACATTTTATATATATATATATATATATATATATATATATATATTCAAACATATATTGTAAAATATAACAGACAATGAATATCTTAGGTTTAATCATGAGCCATTTTAAGCTTCATATGATGTGTTTAGTTTCGGGATAAAATAAAGACAAAAACTGTCCAACATTTGGATATTTTTTTTTTTATCATGCTGTTCCTCAATCTAAGCTTTTGGCTCGCATGACTCACCATCAGAATGGTTATATGGACAAAAGCCACTATACGAAACTTAGAATGGCACATGATCAAACAGACATTTGTTGACTGTTATATTTAACAATATATGTTTGAATAATGATCTGCTGCCCCAACACACACAAGAGTGAGATAGGACTTACCAAATTATAAAATATTTTAATTTGGATTTCAAATAACTTAAATTTTACAATACTACATGACTATTTTTGTACTAAACTAAAATTCATTAATCAAATTAAAAGAAATTGTTCCATAAGGTGGCACCAGAGGAAGAGGACAGCCCAAGATGACCTGGGATGATGTTATTTTTTAGAAAGACATGGAAAAATTGAGCCTAGAACTAGTTTACACTAGTGACAGACACGTGGAGAGCTAAGCCAAGATCCACTGTCAGGCAGGAGCCACATTACTTTGTGCAAAATTAACCCCAGTCCTACTTCAACAAGAAAAAACACACTGTGATACTTCATAGGTCACATGATTTTATATATATATATATATATATAATAAGTGAACATAGAAGTCAACACTTAGAGGCGACAGTGTTCCATGCTAGATGCAATCATCAGGCCACGAGTGCTGTTATTTTTCTTGACTATATATATATATATATATATATATATATATATATATATATATATATATATACACACACAGGTCAGTGGTGCATTGTGGGTAGTCTATTTTGGCGGTTATTTTACCGGAAGTTGTTTATTTTTTTTATTTATTTATTTGGGTTAAATTATTTTGCTTGATTTTATTTTTAGTTTTTATTTCTTATCTTATATATTTATTTATTTTAATCAGTGTTTTTATTAATGAAGTAAAAGTTTGTTTATATCGCTTATTTAATAGTTTTGTTTTTGGAAGATAATTATTCAATTTTGGGGTTGATTGTTGTAGTTTATTCTAACTATTATTTTGGTGGGAATAGTTTTTAATTTGTTTATTACTTCATGTATTTATTTGGATTGATTATCTTTGTTAGTTTATCAGGATCAGTTTATTTATTTATGTTTCTTGGTTATATGTGTCTAACCACTCATCGGAACAGCTATTCCGACAAGTGGTGAGACACATAACTCCGAAGTAAACATGAGGTAAGTGGAGAAAAATATATATAAAGTGTCTGTCTTTCTTCACTTACCTCATGTTTACTTCAGAGTTATGTGGTTATATGTGTCTCACCACTTGTCGGAATAGCTGTTCCAATGAGCGGTTAGACACATATAACCAAGAAAAACCAAAACAAACAGGAGTTAAGAGAAAAAAAAAAAAAACTTTTCCATATTAATTCTATTAATACTCTATCCCTGCTTTTGATATTGAGCACACTATAACAAAGCTTGCTTGCCTCAAATGCCTCTTTATCAGCAAACAAATGAAAAACCAGCAATTTTGGCTTTAATTTCAAATTAACATGCACACACACACACTAATATATATATATATATATATATATATATATATATATATATATATGTGTGTGTGCACAATCTGTTGAAAATCTCAAATGTACAAAACTTGTCCACACATCTTGTTTGTCTATTGCTGAGCTAATAGCAAATATGAAGAAACAAGTGCCTGCTTCTCTCTCTCTCATATATAACTGATATACAAACAAACCTAAAGTAGTTCTCTTTAAAACGTTTCCCGAGAATAAAAAGAAATAACACTTAATATATTATCTATGTCAGTTTCCCAGAAAACTACATTTTGGTGCATGGACAAGAAAAAAAAAAAAGTCAGCATTTTAAAATGTTTAACATTACTGAATACTATATTCTCTTTCACTTTGTTTATCCCAAAGTTGACTCATTGTCATGAGATTCAACTCATTAGGATCATAATGGCATCGCATGTACTGCAGCCATAGCAATAGAGGTGTGTCTTGGGCAAGATAACCCAACTCTCTTAAGGTTGGTTCAGAAATTTTCTTTCATCTAGAATGGTTGCCACCTGAAGGCATGAGAGCCCATTTGCCCTTCTACTAATTAACCAATATCTAGAGGAAGACATATCTTTTTTCAAGGACATTAGGTCAAAGTGAACAAAACAAAACCAAATGAGAACTGAACACTGCATGCCAAACTGTTTCCGCATCAGTAAACATAACTATTTGTTTCTCCGCTACATATTGTGTACTCACTTGTAAATATTTTAAAAGGCCATGCATCTAGCACTTAACTTATTGGCTATAACATTTTCCACTTTGAAGCTGCTATATTAATAACACTTCCCTTTGCTGAAATAAAGCTGGGACTCAATTTGTTAGAGTGGCATAAAACAATACTTCACAGCCTCTTTGCTTTAGTCGACAAAAGGATTAAAAAAATATTTGGCAATGAGGAAATGTCTTTAGCTTCACACACACACAGAGAGAGAGAATGTGTTTGAATTATAATTATTGGCAAATTTAGTTTGGCCCAAATCCAAAATATGTCTTTCATTGCAATAAAGGCAAAGAGGAGAAATAGTCTCAAAGGAATAGAAAAAAATACAAATAAACAGTGGTGTCCACAGGTTCATCTGTAAATATGATGTTGGTTGATTAGACGTTTGATTAATTAGTTGATGGCTTTAAAAAATTAATACAGGAATCCCTCAATTAGTGCGTTAAATTTCTTATACCAAAATTCAATTAGTGCATACATAATATTTGATTAGTGTGGTAAAACATTCTTCAGTTTAACCATAGTAATTGAAAATTGATTTTTTTTATAGTTACCAATTAAAAAAAAAAAAAAAAAAAAAAAAAAAAATAGGTAACTATTTTGTTTGTCAAGTATTATGTTATCTAAGTAATTACAGTTAAAAAAATGGACTGTTATAATTAGATCAATTTTCTAATATAAACCAATAATAAAAATACATATTTGAATATTTGTCTCTTAAAATTTTTTGAATATTTAGACTTATGTTTATTTTTAAGGTCTTTAAAGGAAATTTCTGATTTTTTTGTAAAAAAATGATTTAGTTAGATACCGGAATTTACATTTATGAAAAAAATTTTTAAAAATATAAAAGATGTATGTATTTTCTATGGAAATGTTATAAATAACATTTTCAGGTTAAAATACTAACAATTATGATATTTGGAAAATTTCCAAAAATAGAAAAATACATAACATAGTTGTGTACTTATTAGACTAACTACTCAAGCCATGTGTGCATTTTTTAACTAATTTTTTGATTTTTTGATTTTTTTTTTTTTTTTACAACTTTAAATATTTAGCATGCTTGAGGGAGGTGGAGAGCCATGATCGCTTAAATCCTGAAAGAACATGGCACATAGAAAGATCCTTTTCTAAACATGAGCAAAAGAAGATAAAAGTTAAACTGCACAAAAATCTAGAAAAGTTATTTCTTTAGAAGGAAAATTAGAAAGAGTGAAGATGGCGTGTTGAAAGTAAAAATAGGCCTAGATCACAAACAAGGCAAGTAAATAGTAGGAGTTATTTTTCAGGCTCATTCAAGAATCTAAAAGGAAAAATGTTTAGAAACAAAACCTGATGAAGACAGAAGCTGACAAATTTGCAGAAAAATTTAAGGAACAATTTCTCAGTTATATGAAGAAAAGAATATCATGCAGCAAACCACTCTAAAGAAGTTTTTCAGGAAAGGAAAAAAAAAAAAAATCCCATAAACAATTTTTATTGTATCTTCTTATATGTATCTATATTTTAATTAAAAAGTACACAAATTAGAAATTGATTGTGAATGAGACTAAATTTGAGGTACAAACTAAATCATTTAAGTTATTATTAGGTTGGTGCAAAAATAATGACGTAATAATGTCGTTTTTTGACATAACGTCAAAAACGACATTATTACGTCATTATTTTTGCACCAACCTAATATATTGGATTCGATATTAATATACAGATTAGCTGCACTAATCGAGGTATTCCTGTACATCAATAGTTCCTGTTATGTCACTTAGTAAATAAATTTAGTATTTAAAGACAATTGCAATTTATGATTTGTTCAAGAAATTGTGCAATAGGAAAGAAGAGATAAGAAAGAAAAAATACTTATTTTGAGCTTTTCTCAGATTTTGTAAAAAGTTAAGTATAGTCATTTATTTATTTTGTTTTATTTTTGGCTTTGGATCTTCTGTAGCTTTATTTTGTCTTTGATACAATGAAGTAAAAAATAAGGTTAAACATATACTAACAAAAACCCAAGCTAAATAATTTTAGGTTTTAATAGTTAAAATATTTATTCAGTCAAAATTACACAATGTATAGAGAGCTTTAAGTCATTTTTTGTTAAATTTATTTCTCCAATATTAAATGCCTAATTTCAAAAGAATATTTGACATGTGCTCATTAGGTCTGAGAGAGAGAAAGAGAGATGTATTCGTCTTTCATCTATTTCTTACTGCAAATAGTTCCCAGTTTTTCAAGGCTTTTTCAGCTGTCAATACTAAATTGTACTCAAATGAATATGCATCAATATGGTAACTTTCTTCCTTCCTTTAATAACAATACTAAGAAGCTTGTCTGTGAATATGAGAGGATCATATTAAAAATAAGTAGACAAAAATTATTTAAGGAGACATGTCTTAATGAAAAGATGCTGCATATATATATATATATAAAATTTTTAAAAAATACAATTCCTTCGCTACATAAGAGTTCTCATGTTTCAAAAACGAGAGCCGAAAACCTCAATATAATTATTAAAATTAAATAGAGTTAAAGTATCAAGCCCTGTTTCATCCTCGAGCAAAAATATAGGAAGAAATATGCTGTTTAGATTTGTAAATTTTCACTTGAGGATGAAACAGGGCTTGATACTTTAACTCAATTTAATTTTAATAATTATATTGAGGTTTTCGGCTCTCGTTTTTGCAACATGAGAACTCTTATGTAGTGAAGGAATCATTTTTTTAAAAAATAATTAAAATTTAAGCTCTACTTCTGTATGGAGCACTGTTTTTTAAAAATAAAAACAAAAATACTAAAGAACTCTGGATTATTTACCTAACATGTTCTTTCCTATATATCTGCACATACACACACACACATATATATATATATATATATATATATATATATATATATATATGAATGAGTATTAAAATGTTAAGTTTAGCGGATGCCTGTGTTTAAGAAGATACTTTTTTTTTTTTTTTAAACTATAATTCAATGTCCAATGGCGTTGGTCATTCAAGAAACTTAAAAGAAAATGTGTCTTTTGAATGCCCAGGCTGGTAAACATTTAATTACACCATTTTAAAAAGAGGGATGTACGCCAAATGATTAGATTGGATTTTCAACGATGTATCAATTTATCGGTATTTTAAATATCTTTCAAAACAATAATGTGATTGCTGCTTATCAGACAATATGAAAGGAACTTAAAATAAATCAAAAGACAAAAAGTTGTCTATATTATTTAATGGAAACATGCATTAATGAAAAAATTGCTGCTTAAATATGCATATATATATATATATATTTAAAGAAAATTATAAAAAATAAAAAACTGCCCATCAAAAAGTTTGTGTAAATTTCATTTTCGTTTCACCCATTTAAAGTGATGTCTTCAAAGATCAAGGGAAAGTTAAGTCTCTGGTGAAATAAAAATGAATGTCTTTTACAATGGAGCCTTTTGTCTGTAGTTTTCATTTGTTTTTATTTTTTTTATCTTTTAACTGTTTTTTTAAATTATTAGCTCTAAATTTACATTGTGCTTTCAGGATTTCATCCTCCTTGGGATTATATATATATATATATATATTGCTGTATACAATTATTTATAAAAAAAAATTGTTTAAAAGCTGTAAAAGAGAGTTTAGAAAGAAAATAGAAATAATTGGTGTCAGAATGAAATTGTATCAACACTTGTTTTCTAATGTTATCTGCCTGTTTTAATATATATATATATTATAATATTCTGTAACAATTATATATATATATATATATATATATATACAATGCATCTTTTAGTTGGTGTCAGAATGAAAATGCAAACTTGAAGTCTTTAATGTAGTCAATACCCTGGCCATGTTCTGTAGGGTCATAATCACCAAGTTCTGACTGAACTGTGTAGGAACCCAGCAACGCATGGGTTACGAATGAACAGGGAAGTCTGTAAAAAGAAAAATATTTTTAAATAAAAAAGAGCTCATCGCAAATTAATTTTGAAGACAATTATAACACCTAAGTTTCAGTTGTTGCGGCATTTGATAAATCTTGACATTATACTGGTTTCAATGTGCTCCAATTGTGGCTGCATCAAGTCTGGTCATATGTTTTTCTAGGTAAGTTTCTTTTATGTCTAGTAACAAAAAATAATTAAATTCTGCATATTTGTAAGTCACTTGTTAACTTTGCCAAATGAGTCTCTTCCTTAAAAAAAGTAAAAAAATGTGTACATAGATGTAAAAGAAAGCTTCATACAGTAGAACAAGGGTTGGCAACCTACGGCACACATGCCATATGAAGCAATTTCCAATGGCTTGCAGCTGCAAACATCACAAAGTCCGAACTAATAACTACTACAACACAAAGAACATATTTAGCCGTTTTAATTTTAATATATGCTAAAGTATATATACTATATATTATTACATAAAATATATTGTAGAACAGGTATATTGACCTTGTCTTGTATAAAAATACGTATGCTGTGGGCACACAGTTAGCAAAAGGTTGCCGACCCCTGCAGCAGAGTATCTTTTAATGAAGTGATTATATATCCAAGAAGCCAAACATAACCATCAGAAAACAGAGATACTAAAACTATGGCTTCAGAGACTTATTTCTTATCAAAGACTCTAAAGCAGGGGGTTCTCAATGGGGGTGGGAGGATTTGCCCTCAAGAGGAATTTCAGGGTTGGGGGGGGGCGCTTTTTTTTCTTTTTACAGAATTTATCATTCATCAGAATAATACAGATTTAAATAACCTAACCTCTTAGTTTATTGAAGTATTCTTCAATTTATTTATTTAAAAATTAGTTATGAATTAAAACAATGTACTCAAGTTAAAAACAAAATATCCATCAATATTTTCTATTACTACTAAATTTGTAAAACACCTATAAAAATAATCTGTATAAATGTATAAGTATTAATATGGAAAAGAATGAAGATTTTCACTAATATATGCATATTATTTGGAATGCACCTTTTGAGTTGGACAATCTTGGAAAGGGGGTGAATGACATCCTAATATATGGTGAAAAGGGCACATTGGGTTAAAAAAAAAAAAAAAAAAAAAAAAAAAAAAAAAAAAAAAAGGTGTGTCTGGAACCATTGCTTTAAAAGAAACTTGATATAATCTAAGACATTTTTTATATACAGACATTTCAATAACTAAAACAGTGAGGTTTCATTGCCATACAATCAAAATGTTTTGTTGCCAATATTTTACATTAGGCTAATTTTAGCTACATTATGTGAATACTTTAGAAATGGCTGCATCATCAGTGACTACTATGAAAGTGTAGACATTTACTAAACTCAGTTTGGTCTGGCATGAAGCTAAAAGATGTAAAAAGATTGTGGTTGCACTAATCAGACAATAAAAAAAATTCTTACTGCCTCAAAAAAAAAAAAAAAAAAAAAAAAAAAAATAAAAAAAATTTTAAAAATTAAAAAAAAAAAAAAAAATAAATAAAAATAAGAAAAAAAAATCAGTATTCAAAATTGAGGAATTGGGGGTCTAACATCAACTATTATACCAAGTATAAAATAATAGAAATGATTGTTATCAAGCAGAAAAACTATTATAAAAAGTTTTGGGTAGTTAATTTAAATGCTACTGATTATTTAAAGTTTTCTCATTTTTTATATTTAGGATACTTAGTAAGTTGATAAGAAACAGGTTTAAAGCTATTTAAAAATAGGATTAATGTTTTAAAAGTGAAATTGTCTTACTTTTCATTCAGAATATCAATCCTGATTTGAAGGCACAACATATATCTGCAACAAGAAAGAAAAATAAGTTATAAGACATTAATAAGATAATAACATGAAAACTATCAAACAATTATGTGTTGAGCATTTTATTAAAAAAAAAAAAAAAAAAAAAAAAAAAAAAAAAAAAAAAAAAATTTTTTTTTTTTTTTTTAATAAATTTGAATACTTGAGGATGGATTTGAAATCGGAGGGAATTTTATGAAAAGTTTATGGAACTGCACAGGAAGTTGTTAATTGCATGTGGCTGAAAAATTTAATTGAAAATTTCAAATTACCGTGTAAGATCTTCCTGGAGTTGAGCAGGATCTGGAGGATAGAATTTCACTTGAAAGGAGAATTCCCAAGGAAGGGCTGCAACAGAACAAAAAGAAAAATCAATTAACAACATATTTAAAATATAAAGAAAATTACAATCTAATTCACAGCAATGTAGGTAAACAAAAAACAAACTTTCTACTAATCTGGTGCAGCCAATGAATATTTCACAGTCAAGAATATAAAGTGCATGGGTTTCTACAGGGTTGATAAAACGACACAAACTCTCTACTTTTTGAAATGAGACAATTTTTATCAAGTTTGTAAATATCACAGATGAGTTATATATATATATATATATATATATATCTCCAAGTACAGAGTTGGTACACATGGAATAAAATTCCAATGACCAAAAACACTATTTTTAAAAGAGTACTCAATACCAAGTAGAGCTAATAATATTTATTCAAATTTATAACATATGTATTAAGATCACTACAAAACTTGTAATTTTGTTTTGGCACTTCTGGTGTCTTATCAAGTGATCTTGAGAAGATACCAGAAGTATCAAAACAAAAATGCAACTTTTGTAGTGATCTGACATGCATATCTCCAACAGATCTTATCACTTTAAATTTTATTTTTAGTCGATATCAATATTTGAGTAAACGCTACGTTTATTAAACATATTTATTTTCATCTACCAGCCTGAATATTCAAGAAATCCTATTAAAAAAGATGCGCCCTCTTTTTAATAGGATTTCATGAATATTCAGGTCGGTAGATGAAAATAAATATACTGCTTAATAAATAAACAGAGTGTCTACTTAAATATGGCAAACCACTAAAAATAACGTTTAAAGTGATAAACACAGTGTGTCACAAAAGTTCCATTACCATTGAAAAACTTTGTAAATGTTACATTTATTTACCAAATTAAATAATATTTATGACAATATATTATTTGGAAATAATATTGATCTAATTATAGATTACTTCATGTAAACTTCGTCTGGTTGCTATTTCACAAGTGTATGTTTTTTCCAATTGTAGTGTGACGTTTGAGACACCCTGTATATGCTAGGGAAAACAGTTATTAAAATTCTGATCTTAAATTTTCCCTGTATAATGTTCAGTTGATGTGATCCACAACAGAATTGAGTGCATTGACAAAGAGAAAATGTTGAATATATCTTGTGTAAAATAAGTGTATTTTTTTTTTTTATATTAAGCTATGGATTTACTAACAGGTGTTTTAGACTCACATACATTTTAATTTGTCATGTATTTTAAGCTCATATTTATCCCTATTGACCTTCTCTGTAAAATGATAACATTTGAAAAATAAAACAATGCAGTGACACAAAATCTGAACATTTTATGCTAAAATGTATCAAGTCAATGTTCAAATGTTATCTTATAAAATAGCTTAAAAACAAATATAAAATAAACTAACCAAAATTCTATAAAATAAATCAAGTCTTGCAATTTGGTTTTATAACATTTAATACAAATTACAACTCATGATCCTATTGCAATTAGTGATACTAGCAGCATTATCCTTATTTTCTATTAGATGAACCATTATCAAATATTTGTATTCATTTTGACTGTTTACTGACATCTTAATTTATGATGAAAAACAACAAAATAAAAATTAATAATTACTTTGCACTGATGAATGAAAAGGTATGCTAAAATGTAAATTTTATAATTACTTTGAATTTTGGTCAATATTATTTCACATTTGTTTTGAATAATGTTAAAAAGCACAAAGAAAGCGCTTTCGTTTTCAACATAATATTGAAACACTAGCAAACACACGAGACAGGTGTTGATGCATGTGCAGTGACGTTTTTCTGTTACCTCTCTCAAAATTTGAGGTCACATCCCAGATAGATGGAAAAAAATGAGAAAACAAAGATTCTGAAAAAACAATTTAAATGTCCATTTTGAAAATGGAAAAAAATAAAATAAAAACAAAAAAATAAACATTAAAATAAGAAACTAAGAATTGGATAAAGTGTATGCAATAAAAAGATCAAAAGGTAACATTAAAAAAAATTTAGTTAAAATGGTTTAACCATGTGGCAAAAATTAAAAGAAAATAAATACAATGGGCATATAGTAAGGGAAAAAAAAACAAAACTCTGTAATATTCTTCTCCCTAAATTAAAACCAGATTTACATATGAAAAAGTTGCTGTTACAGAAAAAAAATATTCTAATCAAAAAAAGGAAGGAGTTAAATTGACAGGACATCTGCTTACACACATTGAGTATCAATATAAAATGGTTGGTTGAGGACCCAAAACTAAACCTCCAACAGAGATGGCCACGGAGAAGTCAAGTTGTGGCCAGTTATCTTTAAGCATTGTCCTTATGACATTTTGAAAGTCATGGCAAAGTTGAAACTGCCAAAAAACTACATTCAAGATTTCTGGAGATGCTAGGAATATATTCTCCTTTTTGCTTATACCATTTAGCTACTTTGATGATATACGAGAGAAGCTGCTAGTCAAGTTTCATTGTACAATTTTGGAAGGTCAAGGTTTCTCAGAGGTTTGATGAGCATCTCTTCAACATAATTGAAGGGATGTGGAGGAACACCAGGCAGCTCAAGGTGTTAAAGAATTCAAACAGGCTCTGAACAGCCTCAAAAGAGTCATGAACTGTGCCTAATAACTTGTGCAATGGACCTACCAAAAATATGCTGTAACAGCTTTTAGCATTTAAATTGAACCCTGGGGGGGGGGTGCAAAAAAAAAAAAAAAAAAGTAAAAACACAAAAACAAAAAACAAAAAAAAAAAAACAAAAACGAAAAAACAAAAACGAAAAACGAAAAAACAAAAACGAAAAACGAAAAAACAAAAACGAAAAAACAAAAAAAAAAAAAAAAAAAAAAAAAAAAAAAAAACGAAAAAACAAAACGAAAAAAAAACAAAACGAAAAAAAAAAAAACGAAAAAAAAAAACGAAAAAAAAAAAAAAAAACAAAAAAAAAACAAAAACGAAAAAAACAAAAATAAAAAAAAAAAAAAAACGAAAAAAAAAATGAAAACGAAAAAACAAAAAAAAACGAAAAAAAAAAAAAAAAACAAAAATAAAAACGAAAAAACAAAAATAAAAACGAAAAAACAAAAATAAAAACGAAAAAACAAAAATAAAAACGAAAAAACAAAAATAAAAACGAAAAAACAAAAATAAAAACGAAAAAAAAAAAAAAAAAAAAAAAAAAAAAAAAACGAAAAAAAAAAAAAAAAAAAAAAAAAAAAAAAAAAAAAAAAAAAAAAAAAAAACAAAAAAAAAAAAAAAAAAAAAAAAAAAAAAAAAAAAAACGAAAAAAAAAAAAAAAAAAAAAAAACGAAAAAAAAAACAAAAAAAAAAAAAAAAAAAACCAATAAAAATAAAAAACGAAAAAAAAAAAAAAAAAAAAAAAAAAAAAAAAACAAAAAAACGAAAAAAAAAAAAAAAAAAAAAAAAAAAAAAAAAAAACAATAAAAAAAAAAAAAAAAAAAAAAAAAAAAACGAAAAAAAAAAACGAAAAAATAAAATAAAAAATAAAAAACCTTTTTTTTACATTTAAAAACAGAGTGGGAATAATAATATAGTTTACTCTTGAATATTTTAGAATTGTCTAAAAACATTTTCAAGTTTGTTTTAAGAGAAATGTACACAGACACAGATATTTTAATCCAAAATTATGGTTAGCTCTATCCTTTCTGCTCAAGTTAACCGCCACCCCAACATTCCAATTTACCTCCAAGAATATAATCATTTAGCTGCAATAAAATGCCAGACTAATTATACCTCCAATGACCCAAAACACCAAATTTGACCTTATCTACCTAACATTTGAGATATAAAAAAAAGACATTGTGTTTTAGTTTTATACAAGCAAACTGAGTATATCAGTCCAGTTGGCAAGACATTGTAACCTCAAAATGTCCCCCTCACCCCTTGCAAGGCCAACCCCATATAGCTTAGGAGGATGCCGCACGAGCCTTCATGCCAAAAATTGCCTTTAAGTGTTATTGCAGCAGAGACAGATATACTCAGGAAAAGGCCGGACCCCAATAACTGAATCAACAGAATTAATAATTTTTTTTAAAAATATTCTCCAACTTATTGTAAAGTAAAACTGAATTCCCCTCCACTCCAGCCACCCGCAAAAGCTATGAGAGAAAACAGTGTGCAAAAGGTCCCATCCAAAAAGATGCTTGGAATTTGCAAATAAAAAGGAACCAACAAATCAAATGCCATCAGGAACTTTTGACCAGAAAAACCCTGATCTCCAAGTTTCAAGAGTAGGTTTCTACTTTTTATGCAAAAAGAGACCGCTTAGAAATTTTGCACACACCTCGTAATTGAGAAAATTAAGATAATGATGTTTAAAAAAAAAAAAAAAAAAAAAAAAAAAAAAAAAAAAAAAAAGGCGTGGTTGGTCTAAGGGAGGTAAATTAGTCCAGCTTAAAAAAAAAAAAAGATCTGAGTAGGAAAATTAACTGATTGACATTTGTTTCAACAAGACTATCCCAAGTAAAGAACCAGTCATACTGCAGCTTGTGCCACTGACTGATTATTAGTATGTTAGTTCCAAATTATTACTAACCAACAGTTAATGAGAAAGTTTTTAGCAAGGGACTTGTAGAGGGACTTATTTTCCGTGAAGACAGAAAAACGGAATTGCCTACTTGAAACGGAAATCGTGATTTTGAAATGGAAATTATTTTTTTTTTTTCCTAGCAATCAGATTTCGACTGCCATTTTAATTTGTTACCATGTTTGCCTTTCATACTTCACTCTTGATCTTGTCCGACAGACATCAAAGGATAAAGTCGGTAATGCTTTAAATACATTACCACTGTGTACTTACTGTCTCCCTAGGAAACAAGTTTTTGGCTTGATTTTAGCGGGGCGGGGGGGCAAAATTGTTGCATTTTTGTTTTATCTTTTCTTTTTCCTATCACACATGGTAACGAAGGCGGGGACATCTTGTCATTTAAGAAAGCCAAATTTTAGGAATTAGACTTTTAAAAATGTTATGTTATTTAATAATTTCAATAAAGTAACCAAACGATACGATTTTTGCTA